GTATCGGTTCCCATGTCGCTACAATTAATAGTAGTAGGGTTAACTTGAAATAGTGAAAATTAGCAACTCCTTTGGGAAAACTGAAGAAATCGCTGAGAAAACACTGTTTATAGCAGGAAAACATAACATTGTTCTGTGCCGGAAAACATGTTCACGCCAGAAATACTGTAGCTCTCGGAATATTACTGTAGCAGCCGGAAAAATTCAAAGTGGACGGAATGAAATAAAAACAGTAGGGGTAGGATTGGAATTACTAGACGACCCAATTGTTCTGAAGAAACTTTTTCGAAAAATGGCCGGAAGTCCACTTCTGAAATCACTGTTCACGCCGAAAAAAATATAAAAGTGGTCGGAATTTGGTGTAACCTGGATGGGTAGGCTCAGAATTGCAAGGGGAACAATCTTTCCAGAAGAATCGTCGCCAAAAAATGGCCGCAAGGTGGCCCACGCGACGTCAGAACTTCGCCGGAAAATTTTCTTCTGACCGCTACACTACCGCCGAAGATTTTCATTGGGGTTTGGTCGCCGGACAGTGACTACTCTTGTGGTAGTGTTGGATTTTGCACAACACTAACCGAGACAAAGCAGACGCAAAAACAACTTTGAAAAGTCGCCGAAAAAAAAAGGGTTCCGGTGACTGATTTCACTTCCCGGAATTGCTGGAATTTATGCACAGCAATAAATCTCTCACGATAGCTCTGATACCATGTGAGAAGGCACGAGAGAAAATATGATATATTGATATTGTGTGTTCAATACAATACAAGAGGTCCTTATTTATAGCTATACTATACGAGGGCATATTACTCCTATTCCAATGTAGGACAAGACTGCTGATAAGAATGGACCTTGGGCCTAACTCAACCCCAAAAGCTAGCTTATGAGGTGAGGATTGCCCAAGACCATATAAGGAGACCAAGACACCCATTCTCCACCGATATGGGACACAACTCAACACCCCTCCTCACGCCCAAGCCTGCAACTGGAGCGTGGACAATATAAATGGGGGCCCAACATCGGTAACACTAAATTGGGATGGGCCGGGCTCTGATACCATGATAAGAATGGACCTTGGGCCTAACTCAACCCCAAAAGCTAGCTTATGTGGTGAGGATTGCCCAAAACCATATAAGGAGACCAAGACACCCATTCTCCACCGATGTGAGACATAACTCAACAACTACATTATGTACATATCTAACATATACCGTTGAGATATCCAAGCTTAATTTTATAATACATAGAATTAAAATAGGTGGCTGAAATGACAAGTGCTATGATATTGCTAATCACGTGATTGCTTCCAGTTTTTATGCTGAGCTAGGTTCTAATTTTTTTGTCTTAATAGGTATTTTCAGTCTAGATGAACTAGTGCGTCATTTGGGCATATTTGTCTTGGCTATCTTCTGGATTTCTGTACTGTTAATTCTAACCAGATAGTAAACAATAGGAGTTCCTTGGCTTTTCTGCTATCATATTTGAATATGATCAGCCTCGCCTAACAATAAAAGAAAACTAGGTTAAAAGCTATGTTGTGGTGAGCTCTTCATGCTCGCCCGAAGGCAATCTTGTAGAGTAACGTTTTTGAGCATGTTTTACTTATTTTTTTTAACCTATTCATCTTAACTTTGACTTGATTTTTTGAGAAATAGGGAAAACAATTTGGAATTGGCACATGATCAGCTCAACTGAACCTTCTTTGTGATTCAAATGATGTCGCAACATTTTTTTTTTTTTAATTTTATCATTTTAAAGGTCAACACGTCAGGTCAGAATTGTAAATCATGCTTGAAGAACTAGTTCCCAGCCTACTTTAGTGCTTGAAGAATCTAGTTTTCGGCATACTTAAGTTTGAGTGGCTACCATAATAGATTCTAGACCAGGCAGAAGATCAAATTACTCATTACTATAGAGAAGCCAATCAGGTGGCTGATCTTCTTGCCAAAAAAGCTGCAAACAGTGGCAATAGCTCATAGCCTCATACTACTACACATTCCACTATTCCAGCAATTGCCTAGAGAAGCTAAGGGTACTTTTCACGTGGATAAATGACAGTTGCCTAGCATAAGAAGTAGATTTGACAAAGCCACTTTTTTGTAAGTTAAAAGTATTTTCTTTCCTCATGGAAGAGAAGCTGCATATGATTAGCTCTTTCATGAGTTTTTTGAAAGCTGTTTCAGCTGCAGTCCAGTGCATATGGAAGGTCAGGTATATGGCCCCGCTTCTCTTTTGTCATCTTTACCTTCTATATACATGGTAGGGGTCAAGCCAAACCCCCAACACCTCCGGATCCTTTCCCTGGCTGATGGCTTTCAATTAAAAAAAAGACTACCATAATAGAGGAACATAACTATCTCCACAGTGAATCCAATTCCCACTTGTGACTGCACTGAACNGCAGTATCACAAATTGGCAGCAGAAGCTTTTTACTTGATGGCCATTGTATATGACAAGCTGGGGCAGCTGGACCACAGGGAAGAAGCAGCTTATTCATTTAGGAAACACATCACTGCTCTTGAAAGCTCTGATATTGAAGATCTTCTTCAATATTGTTGCTAAGAACCAGTATTTTACGTAAATATGCCCTTGGTGAGTGATTATTTGCCTCCCTGCAGCTACTTATAAGAGTAGACTTTAGCTCTTGATACAGAATTGTTCACTAGTTCGAACAACGATTCCGGGGTCTATTGGTTAAAGTATGTATCAACGGGATAATTTTGTAACTTCATATATTTGGAACCAAAACTCTTGCTGTCAGTATGAATTGACGATTTGAAAGTCATCGTATTAATTGGAAGAGAAGTGTGCTAGCAGAAGGAAAAATAAGCTGAGATGAATACGACGTTCTACCTTATACTATGTAGGTTAATCGAGAGTTTGCGGTTTTCTTCAATTCCGAAAGAGTATCCTTGGTTTTAAGAACAAGGAACATTAGCTAAACAATTTCGTTTGACTGAAACTAGAGAAAAGAAAATCATCTATATTCCATGCTTAACTGAAAAAACTGAGAGACAATAGCATAGCTGGAAGTTGAGTGTAACATCTAGGTGTTGCTCTTCAGTTGTTATACAAGAAAAGACAATTTTATTTATTTATTTATTTTTGTTGGGAATAACCCTTCCCTATTGGGCATTTATTTCCTTGCTCTACAAACAAAAGCATAATACCTCCCAATGCTCTTAGAGATCTAAATAGGGGAACAGAAGAGTTCAGAGTTACCTGATAAGGACTATCCTTAAGCATGATGAGTTTGCCTCCAATGCTTTTTGCCTTTCCTATTGAATCCGGGAGGTTCCCTTCCATTTACACTTTTACAGGACCCACGAGTAAGACAACTAGATCAAAAGGCGAAAAGTTTTCTTAATCTAGTGGGAGTTGCTTTGCAAGAACTATCTAATTAAGTTTTCTTTTTCCTATCACAGGCAGCTGGCAAATCTGTGTTCGACCGTCTCATACATGCTTTTATTACAGCTTCATTCATGCACCATGAGAAGCATTCTAAATTTCTAATGGAACACCCATGTGGACATTGATTGTGATATAATCATATAAAGGCAGTGAAGATATCATGGATGTGGTGGCTTTCCGATTGCAAGCTTAGAAACACTTCAAATTTCTTGGCAAGTGTATCGTCGATATCCTCCAATATCAGATTGAGGCACATTTTTGTTGTTGATGGTGGTTGAGTAACATTAGTGCTAGATGGCCATGCTATACCAGTTAGAGTGTACCCAACACTTTTGAATATGATTGTTGGAAGATACCATGATTTTGTTGGCCCGTTTGCGAGGCCGAAAAGGCTAAGGCTAATGATTTCTTGGGGGTGTTGAACTAGATGTCCACAATCAGTGATCGGGAGATAGAGATCTAAAGAAGCCTCCTGAGGAGATTGTCTAGCGTAAGAACCTTTTCCAACTTTTCTTATGTTAGTGTAAGATCTTCTCTCGTTGTACAGATTGTTCTATAGGGTTAGCAATATAGTAGGATATCAGATATTAAATACGTTATAAGACTTTGAGCCATGTTGAAAGTTGAGATCTTCGTACTTATCACCTCATCAACATGATAAAATCATTTGACGCCATTGGTGTGCACAGATTTACCTGAGCCCAGACAAGTAACTTAGCAGTAGTATTTGTAGGGTTACCATAGATGCCAGGGACCATTATTGTGAAGATACGTGCCGAAAGCCTGAAAAAGAGCTTGGACAGTTGTGGGAGTGGATCAGAGAGCCTCAAAATACCTTCTCTGTGTTGAAATCTTGTATGGAGTGTGGAAGGGGAATATGTATGCCTAGAGAGAAAGTGGACCAGAATGAACATCCAAATGATGCTAAAGAGAAGATAAAGGTCTTCTGATCTCCCATATTGTGATACCATTTGGAGAACAAGTGCGGATAGAAAGTGTCAGAATGTGCAAGAGAAAGGTGTCTGAGTCCCTTTCACGGGCATTAACAAAAAGAGTGCTGAATCTGCTGATAAGAGAGTTTTGTGAAAGTCTATATTTAAGAGGACGGCCCTTTATAATACGAAATTTGCCTATGCATATGAAACAATTATATTTCTTTTGCCGATAGAGTTACCTCGAGTCACTCCTATGGCTTAGCTTCGATTGACTTAGTGAATTGTAATGAAAGAACCAAATACATTCATCATAAAGTTTATATTGCATTGAGGTTAAAGTTTTCTTTCAATTAATGAGTTATCTAATCTATCAAGGAAGAAGAAAACTCAATGTGTAGTATACGATTGAGGAAATTTGAAGACGTACTAGTTCATGGAAAGGTAAAGTCCTTCCTAGGGATGGCAGAGCTAAGTTTACGGGTTCGGGAATTTAGTTTGTTTAAGTTACTAGGTTTTAAATTAATAAATCATACATATTTGATGAAATTCTTAAAAATTATTGGATTCGGCCGAACCTGTAGGTGTGTCTAGCTCCGCCCTAGTGTAGCATATAGAATTTTTTTTTAGTGTATGAGGTGATTAGGAACGTCATTTGTCAGCTATAGTTTGCCTTCTGCCTATCCGTGCAAGCAAAATTATTAATATTGCTGGGGAAGTGGTTATTCAAATGTAAATTCAATGCACAAAAGAGACTTTTCTATTTTCTATCACTTAGTTAAAAATAAAGTTGATTGGAAGGTAACTTTTCTTTAACCTAAAAGCTGATGTGGCTTTCCAATCAGCTAATATGTTTATAAAAACAACCCTAATGTAAGTCATCTATTTTATACCCATATATTATACACTTGCGCTGTGACCCGTTTCTCATAATGGGTTAATTTACATTTGACTCATTTTATTAAGCATATTACATTTGACTCGCGTTAGCTATCATGTCTAAGACTAAACTTTACAAAAGCATGTGTTGCGCGGTGGAACAATGACAATAGATCCTCAAAAGTAAAGATCGTATATCACGCAATGCGGGCATTCATTTGTTTGTCACTTTAGTTAACGAAGATTAAAATTAAGCATGGAAAGTCAATACTCGTTAGCTAGAGTCATCTTTAGTTTATGTGCAGATTGTAGTTATGCTATAAAGGAAAAGATCTCCGTTGATCATCCAACAATATATGAATTGGCCACGGACTAACGTGATGCAATGACCCTTTTTCACTGCTTCATAATTTGAGCCTTCACAGGCACTTTCAATGGCCTTTCTTTCGCAATCCCATGTTTCAAGAAGAGTTAGGGGTGGTTTTGTAGGATGCATTAGATAAAATAATGTATGTATTGGCTTTGTGTATTAGCAATATCTTGTTTGGTATATTTTTTGAACATGTGCATTAGTTATACACCACATTTGGTATTATCTTATGCGTAATTAATGCATAGGAAACCATGGTATTAACAATGCAATGAGTTTTATTGCATGCATTAGCTTAGTTAAAGACAAAATTGTCCTTCATAATTTATGCTTGATTAAAATATGCTATTATATTAATACAAGTAAATAATCCAAGAAAGTGGGAAATAAAATTATATCCCTAGTAAATAAATAAATGCTTAGCATACTTCCTTTTTTATAAATAAATATTCAGTTCTATACTACAATATAGGTAGACAAATCAAATAAATTTTGTAAAACTTTTTTCATATAAAAACATTCCTCAACTTTTTTATAAAAAGATAAAGTGATGGACTGGTTATGAGGGTATTTTTGTAAATAAACAATTTTTTTAGAAATTGTGCAATGCTTTAATACATCAAACTAAATAATGGATAAAAAATATGTCAGCATAACTAATACCAGCATTACTAATACACCATATACATTATTCTTATGCATCCTACTAAGCGTCCCCTTAGTTTTATGAAATGTGCAATTACAGAGATATTGCATCACTATTACAGCATATTGTGGCAATGGATGCCACTGATTCGTTGATTTTTACTCATGCTTTTCACATTCTGTTCTTGGAAGCTTGTGTTGAAGCTATGCCTTTTACAACAACGGAGATAGTTCCATATGGATTGTTGAAATTGGTGCAAATTCTCTCTGTTGCGAGTACCAACTCTACTAAGCTGTTCAAGTTTTGTGGGATGCAAATGTTTATGTTTGTTGAGGGGCTTGTGCATGAGTTCATGCCTATTATTTTATTCTAGAGATAAGTTTAGAGTACTTTGTAACACGAATTTTTCAGGTGATTTATAATATTAATTTACCTTTGTTATTTTATTTTATTTGTAATAATTTACTTATTATGTTTATCATTATCTGAAAAGAAAACACATGCAATTTTATCATCAACACGAGCAAACTACCAACTCAGTGGGCTAACACTCTTGTCAATAGGAGAATCACATCCCTTGTGATTCAGTTCAAATCGTAATCTACTAATTCTCTCAAAGGTCAATGCAATGAACTCAAATTCCTGGCAAGTCCAATTTAAATTTTATTTTTCTAATTCACTTTTGAAAAGTAAATTAATAGAGGGATTGAAATGCAGTATGCACTCTACAGATTTTCAATGAATCAAGCTAACCTTTTGAATTAAGCTTAATCATCATCTCTAAACCAAGATTAGCCCCCAATATTTATGTCAAACAATAGAATTGCCTAGAATAAAAAAGCTAGAGACTAGATTTAGCGATCAAAGCTAGTCTTTTTGTTTGAAAGGGAAGAGAGATTATCGTCTTTTTGATTAGGAGAATAGACAAGAGAGAAAACTAGAGTTTCTTTACTTCAATCATAAAGAAGATAGACATGTATTAGGGCTAACCAATTAACCAATGATTTTACGTTATGAATTTAAAATTTAAGCATAATTTCGTATAAACATGATTATATTTGTCTTCACCCATATTCCCCCTATTTATTCCATGTTTCTAACACAAAAGATAAGGAGTAGGGTGTAAATTTCAAAAAGGACGAGGGAATTTTCATAGTAACAAAAAACTAGAGGGAGTTTCGTAAAATTAAAACCAAACAGGAAAATCTCAACCTGTTCACTTTTGTAGAAATGGCGTGGGATAGCCAATTTTTAATATGGTATTTGGTTTTTATCCAGTATTTTTAATGCTGAGCAAAAATAGCCACTACTCTATTAAAATTAATACGAAAAAATATTTTTATCATTTCTTCATGAATGTTGTGTATATATTAAGGATATGGTGTCCTTAGCATTTTACACTGCACACATGAAGTTAAGGACGCCATGTCCTTAACATTTTACTCTGCACATATGAAGTTAAGGACATGAGGTTTTAAAGTTTAACAACAGAAGGTGCAAATATAAGTCAAGGACATTATGTCCTTAACATTTACACTGCACACATGAAGTTAAGGACGCCATGTCCTTAACATTTTACTCTGCACATATGAAGTTAAGGACATGAGGTTTTAAAGTTTAACAACAGAAGGTGCAAATATAAGTCAAGGACATTATGTCCTTAACATTTACACTGCACACATGAAGTTAAGGACGTAGTGTTCTTAATATTTACACTGCACATACAAGTTAAGGATATGATGTCCTAAAGTTTAACAACGAAAGATGCAAATACATGACACTTTGTCCTTAGTATTTACACAATATTCATAAAGTTAAGGACATCATGTCCTTGATATTTACACATCATCCATGTCTAGCACAGGAATATTTTCGTCCGAATAAGTAAAAATTTATTAAATACTAATTAAAAAGTAAATACATTTAAACAATGGCTAAAAAATATCTCTAATTAGTGGCTAATTGTACAGCTCCCTTCACTTTTCGCCAAGTAGTGTAGTACTTCAAAACAGTCTCTCAACTCAAGTCAAGATATTAGTACCAAAGAAAAAAGAAATAGAAAAAGAGTCTCGACCTTACTTGGCAGTTTTCTATTGGAGCTTCCTTTCCACGCTTTCACTCTTGCTCTTGAGCACCGTCACATTATTCCCAAAGCCCAAAGGGTCTCTCACTTCAAAGCTTGGAGCATGATAAGCACGTGTACTTTAACCCCAATATTCAAGACAAAAAAAAGAAAAAGAAAAAAGAAGAAGCCAATATTCTAACAAGAGTAGTAAAATTTTTACATAAATTTAGTAAAAAAGTAATGATATGGAGTAGCATTTTTCAATTAAATTGTATTATTAAATTGTTATTATAATACTATTTTTTCTTCTACATATATAATATATAAATCAAACTAAAATATTTAGATATTGCATTATAAAATACAATCATTTGTAAGATAGAACACAAAAAGTACTACTACTATAATTTTTATTGTTCAAGTTAAATTATCATCCAGCCACTAATTTAGATTAACCTAAAGTATAGGTTATTCTTTTTCCAAAATGTAGAGTATAAATTAATTGACTCATTTTTACTCCACTTAAAAAGTTTTAAATAAAAAACTCAAAAATTGTTTTATTGGGCCGAAGAAAACAGTCTCCTCTATATGCAGAATATGAGTACTAATTTCACTCCTTGATTCTTCACGCCCTTGGCATTGGTAACTTTCCAGTTTCTATTTGAGGAGAAAACTCAAAAGGACAATGGAGAAGAAGAAAGAAAACCCATTGAAGAGAAACTTTGAAGACTTATGTAGTGAAGATGAACAAATGGCTGTAGAGAAGAAGCAGAAGGAAGATTTTATTCCAAGAGAGTATGCAAAAAATTTTGGGTTCTTATATATATTTTTAAATAAGTTGTTGAAATTTGATGAAATTGCATGTTTGTGTTTTTTTTTTCAGTTACCAATTGGAGGTATATGAAGTGGCAATGAGGAGGAACACTATATGTGTATTGGAAACTGGGGCTGGAAAGACATATATAGCAGTGATGATGATCAGAGAAATTAGTAAAACATTGAGGACTGGTGATGAGAAGAAGTTTATTGTATTCTTGGCACCTACTGTTCATCTTGTTCATCAGGCATGTCTCCATGGATAAACATAATTCCTTTTTTTTTTTGCCAGAATTTTGGTTGAATAAGAGAATGTGGTTTAGAAATTCTTGATTATGGTGGATAAAGTTAAGGTTTTGGACTAAGTAGAACCAGTGCCACTGTTGGAAATAAATGGTGATAGAAAAGTCCAACTATGGTCTTCGTTTTTTAGGTTTGAGGCAAAAATATTAGGTGATTTCTTCCCATTTGTTGGTAGCAGGTACCCCTGTAATTGGTGGAGATGTGCGCAAGCTGGCCCGGGTACCATCTTATCAAA